TTAATCATGTTCTTTTTGAATGCCCTCCGACGCGTCAAGTATGGGCGTTGGGGAATATTCCAGTGGGCCTTCTCTCTTTCCCGACAACGTTGGTGTATGCGAATATGGATTATATCCTTCGATTATCCCTGAAGGATGATCAAGCTAGATTTATTCCTGGGTTATTATGGTATATATTGGGAGGCACGGAATGCCAAGGTTTTTGATAATAAGGATGAAAATCCGATGGAGGTAGTGAGGATTGCTCAGACTAAGGCGGGATCATGGGATGCAGCGCAGATAGAGGAATCAGAGGCTCCAGAAGCGACCTTACCAGTGGCTTCCGCGCCTCGGTTTCGCTCGGTTTCTCTACCTCATACCTCGTCAGGGTATAGATGTTTTGTTGATGGATCTTGGAAGGAAATTGACTTGTCGGTAGGATTAGGATGGTATTGCCAGCATGCTCCAGACTCAGCAACATGGATGGGAGCAACGAATCCTCGCCGCAGTCTCTCTCCTCTACATGCGGAAGTCGAAGCTCTAGTTTGGGCAATGCGCTGCATGATAGGACACAACTTCAGAGATGTGATTTTTCTCACGGACTGTTCCGACCTGGTGAAGATGGTGTCTTCTCCTACTGAATGGCCAGCTTTCTCTGTTTACCTAGACGACATTAGGAGTGATAGGGAAGAATTCTCAACTTTTTCTCTTTCTCTTATATCTTGTAATCAAAATGTAAAAGCGAACTCTCTGGCACGAAAAGTTCGTGCCCTCCTGCATTTTGTCAAGTTTGTTGACACTTGTTCCCCCAATTGGCTCTTTTGAGTTAATCTTAATATTGTTGAAAAAAAAATAAATAAATAAGAAAACAACTAATTAAAGTCTTAATTAAAGCATGTAGGCTTCGGCTAAGTATAGGCCTAACCTACCAGTGGGTTCGAGTTGCTTATTTTGGCACATTTTAGGGGTTATATACGTTGGAACATTCTGTTAGTAAATAGTTATTGTGCTTTGGAAGTCAAGTCAATAATATCAATTTGGACGTTAACGTTCATTGTGCAGTGATGGAAAAATGGCCAAAATGAACCTCGACTAACTTATTGACGGTTTTTCAATACCTAAATTATGCTACTTGGTAAATTTCAATCTAAACTCATTAAAAATTCAAATTCTAAGTTAAACTATATGAAATTAGGCAACATCAACATATGCCGAAACGCTGTTAGTTAACCGGTTAACAAGAGAAGTACAATCAAAACCATCATCACTTTTACTTAGAATCGCTCTTCAGATATCGTGCAACAAATTTGTTATCTCTTCATTTCTTCGGTTGAATGGATGGACCAAAATCAAATTAAAAGTTATGCTTTTATATGTTTTTTTTTTTCATGAGACCATTTGTATAGGTTATAATTATATATTCTAAGCCTAAATTATTAAAAATTTAAGTAAAATATTTAGCTTATTTGGAAAAAGGGGGATTTGCTAAAATAACCTTTTTGGGTTACATTTTTTTACAAATACCCTCTCTTGGTGTCCATTTTCAAAAATACCCTATCTAGGTATAAAATAACTAAATTACACTCCTTTAGTGGAAATCATGATGAAAAAAGAAATATTCCTTCCAACAAAAAAAAAAAATTTTCCGATAAATTGTCCCCAAAAAATTGTCCGCAAAAAATTTCCGACAAAACATTTCCCGCCAAAATTTTCCGCAATACCTTAAAAAATATTTTAAAAACTTTGTAATGATTTTTAAAACCTTTGAATATCCTTAAAATCCCTTGTAAATCTTTTAAAAAGTCATCTAAAACTTTTAAAAACTCTAGTAAACCTTTTAAAACATTTGTAAAGACTTTTATAACTTTTATAAACACTTGTAAATCCCTTTAAAAACTCTTATAACCGTGGTAAATCTTTTTAAAACTTTTATTAACACTTGTAAATCGCTTATAAAGTTCTTTTAAAAATCGTTGTAAATTTTTAAAAACCCTTGTAAACCCTTTAAACATCCTTATAAACTTGGGACAATTCTAAAAATACCCCTTTTGGGTATTCCCTTTTAAAAATACCCCTATAAGGGGAGCATTTTTAAAACTACCCCTGTTTTAATGCCAAAAGACGATTTTGCCCTGGTTTATGTTAAACCTAAAAAATCTTTGGTTCACAATTCTCTCTCTCACGAAAACGATCTCTTTCTCGACGGCTGGACTCCGGCGAGAATCCTGCTTCTCCTCTCTATCACAACTCCGATTCCATCTCCTCTCTGTCTCCGGCGAGAATCTTGTCTCTGTCCGCCTCAGACTCCTCTCTCTCTCTCTCGATTCTGGTTTCTCGAGGACTCCTCTCCTCTCTGTCTCACACTCCTCATCGGCGTCGTCATCGGTTGAGGACTCCTCGTCGTCACACAAAATCGCCTCGCCGTGTCTTCTCTCTCTTGGCCGTGTAAGTGCCCTATGTTATCTCTTACTTGTTAATTGTTTAGGGTTTGCCAATTTAGGGTTCTTTTTTAGATCGATTGAGATTAATTGTTGGAGATCGATTGAAATTAATTGTTGGAGATCGATTGAGATTAATTGTTGGAAATCGATTGAGATTAATTGTTGGAGATCGATTGAGATTAACTGTTGGAGATCGATTGAGATTAATTGTTGGAGATCGATTGAGATTAATTGGAGATCGATTGAGATTAAACATATATTTACTACAATTGTTCAGGGATGGCTTTAATCAATTTTGAAAACCTTATAGAAAATGAAAATCATAAAAACTTTGTAAAAAAATGGTTTGTGCATCAAAAGTTGTAGTCTCATAAGCATTTTAAAAGGTTTTTAAACATTTAGGTTAAAATATTTTGGTTTTTGATGTTAATAAACAGATGGAGAGTAGTGAACCGGTTGATTATCTTCTATTACCTAACGGTATATATGAAGATGGAAGTGAACCATTCTCTCAAGCATCAATAATACAACATACGGATTTTAAACTAATTTGGAAAGTTAAAGCTGTTTTGAGCGATGAATCGTTCAAGCAGCTTGAGGATTCTTTCCTCGGACACATCATCA